ATGTGTGTTTTACAAGCAATAATAGTTACAAGAGCGAAAGAATGAGTATAAGACTACTTCCTGCCGTTTTTGTGGTGTAGAGGCACTAAAAACAAAACTTGAACTTGCAGCTTAAGAGGGACCAGTCCCTTGCCATTCTTTGAGTGCTCTCCCCAGAGTAAGGATGAAAAGAGGTTAGGTCAGCGATATTCTTAATCACTCGGTGTAAAGTAAAGAAATAATTATCGGTTTGACTGCACGGATAGCAGGTAGCAGGATAGTGGTTTAAGCGGTCACCTCACCGCTTTCTATTGTGCGAATGTTGTTGTTGTTGTGGGTTCGATACCCACATGGGGCAACACTTTGTGTGATGATGTATGATTCACAAATTGTAGTTCTCAGTCTGGGTGTTCTTTGTGTCTGTTTCATGTATGTTTGTAAAGACCCGCACGACACAAGATATATTTCTAGTGCGGGAGCTGTCTTTTTGTAGAATTAGAATCATTGGTTATCACCGGCTTTTTTGTGAAGCTATCACTCCGGCCAAGCCGACTAACATGCCTCGGAGCATAATATTGTAAATATATACCACTCAATTACATAAATTAACGACATGAACAATTTGCGGTTTCCGCAAACAGTACAAAGTCCATTGTACCCCAATCCCTGACGCACACGTTGTCCTCAGGAAAAAATAAACACCTAAAGCAGTGTGTTTGATCTTTGAAACTAAATTAATTAATTTTACTTCAAATACAAATATTTGAATGAGTTCAAAGATAGATTTCGTTAAAATTTCGCATTAATATATGGCGGTAAAAGAAACAATGTTGGCAATATTTTCCTAAGGTCATTATCATCAACGGCCTTCAGTAGTCCTGGACATAGGCCTCGCCTTTGACAGAAGGTTTTGGCCTACTATACAACGCTGGCCAGACGGGTTACCCAATGTTCTGTATCAATTTTGTGATATGAATTAATTTGTACAACGAGTTCGACTGCGACTGTTATTTTAGCTGTAAATTTCAGTGTTCACCTCAACAGCCTTTACTATCCACTGCTGGAGGCCACATAGACAAATTATTACTTATTTGTCCATTATTAAATTAAATAGATTACGATTACAACTTAGATATATTTCAAATATATATATCTCACACATCTCACACACGGCCGTCTGATCCCAGACTGCTGATAAACATACTTTTATAATTTTAAATACATACATATTTTAGATAAATTACACCCAGACACAGAACAAATGAACGTGCTCATCACACTATATTTGTCCTGGGTAGGAATTGAACCCACGACATCCGGCTTAGCAGTCAGGGTCGCTAACCACTAGACACTAGATTATTTAAATACAAACGAATGTGCATGTAATCGACTGAATTTACCTTAATCTTACACGCTCGAATATTTTTTGGCCACCGATTTTTATTAACTTATCTGATGGCTGCCTTAGACGATCCCCCCTATAGGTAAGGCTGATGTATGGTGGAGGTACTCAACTAGGTGTACCTAAGGTATTCCTCCTATGTTAATCTGTCACGCTCGAATAAATCCCGAAATCCCTTCTAGGGCTCCCCTGCTACTAGAGGACCTTAAGAAAAACATTTGTGATAATGTAATAGCTACCTAGTTTCATATAAAATACTATTGACGCTTCAGGCGACGTCAAGTGAATAGTCAAATGAAAGCGCACTGCTAACTTGTGGCGTCGCATGATTGGTAATGAACGTATTAAACTTTCACTGACGTACGCGTCATTCTTGGATAATCTTTTCTCTTGAAAGTTTAGCTAATCAAAGTACTGCCCCAAATTATTTATTTAAAGAATTTTGCTATTTTTATGGCAGTTTGTTAAACCCTTTACTGTAGAATTCTTCTGCACAGTAGGCGATGAAGTCATCGAAAGCGTCTTAAACTGTGAAATTGTTTTCCCACTAAAAAGATTCTGAATAAATTTTGAAAAAAGTAGTTAAAAAAATATGTTAGGTGAAGGTCCAGTGAGTACGGTGGGTGACGGAGAGCTTCCAGCAGTAACTCTTGCAGCTTTGCGATGGTCTGTCGTGAATTGTGAGCTTGCGCGTTGTCGTGAAGAAGCAATGAGAAAGAGCGATTGACCAGTCTTGGTTATTGAACTGCGAGCTTCTGCACCATTGTTTGCAAGTCTTGGCAAGAGACATCTTCCGTTACTATTGTGCCATTCGATAAGAGTATAATAATAATAATAATATCTATATATATAAGAGATATATATAAAAAAAAATATATTTAATGTAAATAGCAAAACAACGTTTGCAGGGTCAGCTAGTATATATATAAGAGATTTCCACATGTATAGTCACTCATCACGATATCTCTGGAACCATTAGAGCTAAAGACTTGAAATTAGGTAGGAATATTCTTTTCACCGAGTAGAGGTCAGCTAAGAACGGATTTAAAAAAAAAATTTTTTTTTTTTTAAATAATGTAAATAGCAAAACAACGTTTGCAGGGTCAGCTAGTGTATGTATATCTGTTACACTGGTTCTGTCCATATTCTTAATTTTTATTATCTCGTTACATTTAAAACTTAAATTCTAGTGCATCTACTCAGACATTTCCCCGCCACCCAAAGGTTTACTAAGAGAAAATGCCTGTGGCATTAAGTCCGCCATTGTACAATGAATTGTTGTTTGTGCATAAATAATTAAATAAATGAATAAAATTCTGGTTTAAAAAATCTCCAGCTTTATAATAAAGACCTATTAATTATCTGCATCCTCCGGCCTTCTCCTAATGTTTCTTTTCCTTCATTATTCTAGCCGTAATTTAAATAAATATTTACATTTATATTTTTTTTATACAGGCCTTCTGATTAGGAAGGCTGATAAGATTAGAATTCTGATAAATAACGTTAATCCTATTATAGCTACAAGTTATTTGTCGACACTGTTAAAAATTGTTTCAGTAAAATTAACATTCTCCTATGGAATTCACTTTGCGTTGTTGTCGAACGCAACAAATTAACTAACTACTTACCTACTACCATAAAACCAAGAGGTGATACAAAGCGAGAGATCAACTAAAATCGGAATTTGATCCGAAGGCCAATTCTCGTGATAATAGTTCGGTCTCAATTCAGTTCCGATCAACTTTCGATTTCACAACTGTCATAAAAGGTATTTGTGTAGTAAAATACTAAAGTATTACTAAGACTAGCAGATTAATTATTTAAAATAAATTTTTGTTACAATACCATATAATCACGTTACAGTTAAAGTTGGATGTACTTTAATATGAAAATACTTTGTGAGAAAAGATGTCGACCCGGGTATAGATCCCCCAATGCTAAAACAAGTGTGAATTTATGACCAACCGAACGGATATATACGTTTACCAGAACATGAGTTTCTTATATAATAACTTAACACATCACACAAACGGCCGTCTGATTTCAAGCTAGGCAGAGCCTGTGCTATAGTAACCAGACTGCTGCTAAACATACTTATATGTTCCTAAATCCAGACACAGAGTAAATCATCGTGCTCATCACACAATTATTTGTCCTGGGTGGGAACCGAACCCACGACCTCCAGCTTAGCAGTCAGGGTCACGAACCAATAGACTAACATAATAGAGTAATTTTTTAATATAGATTTCCTTTCTCGCAGCCCGGGCACAAATTCTAATAAATATTGACTACGTCAGACCTAAATAACTGAAATATCTTTAAGGCGGATGACGTGATGATTTCACTAATTGTTGTTAGTAATTACTCCCATTACTAGTAAATTAAGGATGTTTAATTTGAATAAATGATTCTTGTAATAATTATAAACGCACAGTCAGTGCACGGAACATTATTGAGCGGATTTGAAAAGTTATTATTAAGAGACCACTCTTTGTTATTGAATACACACATTTTTTTTTGTGTTGTAATGATAAATAAGTTAATTAAATGAAAGAAACAAAAAGCCCGACTGCGTGAAAATGTACATAGGTATACATTTTCATAAGCTTAGTATCATTCTTACAATTGCAACGAATTTAAATCTCCCAAACCTAAATCCATCAAGCCTTTTAGAATACAGAGCGTGCCAAATAAATATATTTACAAACTCGAAAAACATAACTCTTCTTCGGACGCAGTCGTGTAAACAGACATCCAATCGTTGTGAATAGTTTTCTTTTAATCGATACTGTTAACTGGTAACTCCTCTCCTACTTACATAAAACAACGATTGCAGCTGTTACGTACCATAATAGAAACCTTCATTCGGCCAACAATCTCCTATTTTGTCCTTCTTACATAACTGGGTTTTTTGGCTGTTCTTTCTTTTTTTTTGAGCAGTGAAATGGCAGCAGCATATTTATATACGGTGACGGGCCTGTTGGTCTAGTGGTTAGTGACTGCTAAGCCGGAGGTCGTGGCTTCGATTCCCACCCAGGACAAATATTGTGTGATGAGCACGGTCATTTGTTCTGTGTCTGGGTGTAATTTATCTATAATATGTATGTATTTAAAAATATATAAGTATGTTTATCAGCGGTCTGGTTACCATAGTACAGGCTCTGCCTAGTTTGGGATCAGACGGCCGTGTGTGAGATGTGTGAGATATATATATTATTATATGTAAATATATTATATATATATATATATATATATAATATATGTACGTAAACTCTACTGTGTAAATTTGTCTATTCAAAGGTAAAAATAGTTGGTATTACATAAAAACTCTATCTTTCATTAAATAAGTGCACCTACCTCATTCTTTCTCTGCATCGCCCAATCGGTCGACTGGTCGATTTGAATATTTTTTTCTATTTTGGAGCATCCTAAGTGAGATACTCAATCCATTCTATTTTCAATATAAACAGTTTTAAAGACTACGATCAAATATTGCACTGTAATCATTCGAATGAATGTAAGTTACAACATCCGAGCCTTTGTAGGCATATATTGACGTATCCTATCTCTGTTAAAGTTATTGATCTAGTTACTATAGTCGTGAACAGACGTACACACTATGGATAGAATAACATTTAGTGTAAATGGGGAGAAGTGTTCCGGTAAGTATCACCAAGCGCATTTGACTCCCATCTCGTATTTTTTGTCGTAGGACAGCCATGCGCATTTTTCCGCTCATATAAGACTTCCACACAGAAATAATATGATAACTTTAAATACGGCATAATAATCGCATAATATTGCATAATATGACAATTGTGATCACAACAAAATATACTTTGTTGAATATTAAAAAGTAACCTAGCTTATGTGAAATGAACGAAAAAGTGTTGAAGGGTTCCCTGGTGAAATAAGATTAAAGTTACTCTTGAATGAAAACATCCCTGAGAATCTGATCAATGAAATTAGAATTGAGGACAAACTTAGATTTTTATATAATATTATTATTACTAACGGTTTTACTCACGTGTATATTTCGGACCGTTTGGTCAGTCGGTCGGTGAGTATAGTGTTCGAAACGATTTCCCAAAATCTGCAAATGCACACATCAGTACTCGTACAACCGTTTATCCGCATCGTATAATACCGTAACGTACCATATGTACCACTAAATAAACCCCAGTTGAAGTAGAAGAATTCCAAAAATAATCTAAGCACCCTGCACAGTTCCTTCATCGCTTCCTATACGGTAGAGAATACTATAAATAAATCAATACAAATATTTCTGCGTTCCCCAGTTGGTCCAGAAGTGGACTCAGACACTTCATTAAATGATTACATCCGGAACAATTTAAATAAAAGGGGTACTAAATACATGTGCAAGGAAGGCGGATGTGGAGCCTGTATTGTAGCTGTCACTGTAGACTATCCCTATCGCAGAATGTTTTCGGTTAATTCGGTAAGTATTGAACAATAACGCTTGTTTTGTCCGTATAAGAAATATAACATTCAATAGTCAAACAACAACAATAGTTATTAATGTTAACATCTTCCTGCTCCTTAGCACCTGATATTATGTTCAGATCAGAACCTTTTGGGCTGTTTTTTGTAAAGAGTAGGATGATACGACTCTCACAAACAACAACGCCAGACTACATTTTGTGTCTGTTTGGGGTTCCATTAAATTCTTGCCGTGGTTATACCTGATCTCCAACTATGTCCTGACGGACCTGACCTGCGACGAAACCCTATGAGTCGGTTCGATTTTATCATAACCTTTACACCTAATGCTCGGTTAAGGTTGAACATGCGAAATTTTTCACATATGAAACAAAAAGGACAAACGCTGGACAAACTTGGGACTTGGGAACAGTTCACTAGCATGACTTGTGGTGTCTTCACTATGTATCCATATCGTTAGATTAATATTTTTATAAAAATGCAAATTGCCCGTTTTTAATACAATAGTTTTTTCATTAATTTAGTTTCTAGAAATAAAGAACCTCAAAAATATTGACTTTTGACAAAAATGGGTAACTAATTCCCTGTCATTTACACGAGGCCAAAGATGATTGCCTGAAGTGTTACTTCTGGTTTTTAATTAATTAATTTTTAATATTTTCACAAAAAAAAACGTAGATTTCCCCTCAATTTGTTTTTTAAACTTTATATCAAATTTCTATTGCTTATAGTGTTTAGTATCAGTCACATCTTGTCACAATTGGGAGGTAACCACGATAGAGGGGATTGGAGGCAGGGGTAAGGGATATCATCCAATACAAAAAACTTTGGCTGAATACAACGGAACACAGTGTGGGTACTGTTCCCCTGGATTTGTGATGAGCATGTACAGGTAATGCGAGGTACATATTCAGAAAAGAAAATCCTACATGAAGTGTTATTATCTTTTTTTTGCATTGCAGTCTCCTGGAATCAAATCATTACGATTTAACACAATACGAAATTGAAAACGCTTTTGGAAGTAACACCTGCAGATGTACGGGCTTCAGGCCAATACTTGATGCTTTCAAAAGTTTTGCCAAAGATGCTCCAAAACCTCCTCCAAAGATTGGAGACATAGAAGATTTACGCATTTGTAAAAATAAAGAAGATTGTCAAAAATGTGATAAGAGTTGGTGTTTTGTCAACAAAAGTGATTTAAATGTTAACGATACAAAGAAAATTGAACTCAAAGATGGTCATATATGGTACAGATTGAATACCTTGGATGATATTTTCCAAGTCTTAGATTTAGAGGGATATGATTCCTACATGTTAGTGAATGGAAATACAGGAAAAGGTATTTAGTTTTTTATTTCTACTGTCTAACGAAATATATAAAAATAATAGTACGTATAAACTATATTTGGAATTTCTCTATTTCGAATATCTTTTTTTCTTACTTTCTTTGTAAACACAGACTTTTCTTTGTAAAGACAACAATGCATTAGGGATATATCCTTTGTCGAGGGGGGGACTTTACAAACATACATGAAACAGACACAAAGAACACCCAGACTCAGAACAACAATTTGTAAATCACACAAAGTGTTGTCTCATGTGGGGATCGAACCCGCAACACTCAGCGTAGTAGGAAGCGGCACCGTGGCGACCGCTTAAACCCATACCCTGTCTTTGCAATCTGATACATACAATTTATATATACATATATATATATATATATAATGCACTTAAAATACACCTATATGATTAATTTTTATCCTTAATTTATTTAGTACTACGTTCCACATTAATTTAAACATAACATAAACATACATTGGTAATATTTATAATATATTTGTATTTTTTTTCACTTCTACTTATTGCTTCACCACAGCGTCGAAAGATGTAATAACCAGTTGGTTTCTACAAGGAAAATATATCTTATCTATGAGGAAATAATTAAAAAACTTATAAAAAAACGTTTTAAAAAAAAATAATTAAAATTATTCAAAAGTTCATTACTAATTGATCTTTCGCATAACGACTTTTGACTGATCTTATGAGTTTGATTTATATAAAGTACAGTCAACGGTCATTCTGTCCCTATCATTGTGTGTTTACACAGTTTAATTTGTTCATTTTCTCGAGGAAATAGAGATTGAAACTTAACAATCATAAAATAACTTATTACCATTACAGCTATCGCATCCTCTAAATTGCCCTAAAAAATGCATTGCTATTTAAATATAAAATTTATTTTTATTACACCAAACCGGGGTTTGCGGCGGGTTCGAAATCGGACAGACTAAAGCCACACAGTGTGCCACTCTGTGCCTATAATGGGAGGGATCCGGGAACTGCTCTTATTAAGACATCCGGACACCTCCTAGCGCCTGCCCGCAATGGCGCTGTCACTACCTTCGGGTACATTCTCTATTTCAACGTCAAGACGTCAACTCCTCGTGGCTGGCCGTTATGGAGGGTGACGGGGAAAACCCTTGACCAGTGCCCTTGTCTCTTAGCGACAAGGGCGGGGAACGAGCCGACGACTGCCACGGAGCCGTCCCGGTCACCCAACCAGTTTGGAAAGGGAGCAACGTAATAGGGCTCCGCGGCTACCATAATAACCTTAATATTCGAATATTGACGAAACCATTCACTTATAACACCAGCGCGGTGAATCGCACAGTTATCTTGATCACAATAAGTTCACTAAATTCTTCCACTGGATAAACAGGTAGCATACAGCAAAGTAGGCAACATTATTTCGTTCAAAGCCTAGACATAATTGGAGTCTAGTTAGTTTGGAACCATTTTTTTCATAGTCACTTACAATAAAGCGTCGCTGATACTGGTTAACAAGTGGCAACTGGCAATCTAAAACTATTCTTGTTAGACATTTTGACCCAATACTTAAGAGATAATAAAATAAAATCATATCATACCACAATTATCATCACACAATCTAAAAAATAACTTACACTTAAGAGGTTTTCAATGGATATTTCAGATATTAAGCCCACTCAAAGCTAAAATGTTGGCCCTGGCTTCAATATTAATATTCGCTTGAATTTTAAATACAGATATTTAATGCTAATATTAATAGCAATTAACACGAGTAACACAAAAGATCGTACCTAAGTTTACTAACCAACGTCAAAAATTGAGAAGGTTTTTGAAAAAAAAATCTACCCTCAACTTTTAGTGACTACTAGTTTAAAATTTGAATCGATTGTAAATATTCCATCAATTCTCAAGAAGTTACTGTAAGATTGCATGAGTTATGAAACCGCGGCATTTGCATCAGCGTCCACTGCAGCGCTAGACGGACAATTATTAATTACGTTGTAACTAGTTGATGGTCATACGCATGTAGCGTGTACATATATATGTGTGTGATACACGTTAATAGAAGAAGGTCATAAGTCCAACTAGTTTTAAAGCCATAACTTCGTAAAAGTGCGACCGGGCTTATGACCGCGACCGTATATAGCTCGCTGTTTAGATATGGAGATCAAATATCAATGGTAGCAAGAACTCAGTCTATAATCTTACTTCCAGGAGTTGCTCCAAAGTTGGTATTACCCCGAGTTCTTATAGATGTGAGCCCCATCGCAGATCTTAAAGGATATTACTTCGATCAGAATTTAGTATTCGGGGCTGGAATGACTCTGACAGATCTAATGGAGTTGTTTAAAACCGTTGCAAAAGAACGTGAAGAATTTCAGTATTTAGAGAAGCTATACGAGCATTTGGATCTCGTTGCGCATATACCTGTGAGAAATGTATGTTTTTTTTAAATTATTTCTGTATAAAACTCTTTCACGCACCCACTGAACTTTGTTTAAAGCTCTGACCTATTAAAATCATCTAATCTTTCGTGTTTTCTACTATAGACTTTTTGGAAGTGAAGGCCGTGTGAAACCCGGTTTCGTTTTATTTCTTTACTATGCAAAGAAATAGTGACCTGTAAAACATTCTTCCTCTTGAAAATATTTTCCACAATTGGCTTAACTGGTCACGGAATAATCATAGGTGAAGCACATGACTAGCAGTAAAATTTGGATAATGGCCAGGATTTTACAGAATTATTGGCTACAATTTGTTGGTTATGTGGAAAACTTTTAACCTATATTTTTATTTTAATACAGATCGGCTCTGTCGCTGGCAATTTGATGATGAAGCATCAACAACCAACCTTTCCTTCTGACGTATTTCTGCTATTAGAGACAGTTATGGCCACTTTAACAATAGGTTAGTGTATTGTTTCCACCTAATAATCAAAAACCTTTAGTAAGGTAGGGTACCTTATGTAGAGAAATATGTCATTTTTTTATGTGTGAATTACTTGAAAAAAGGTTACTTAACATGTTAATACCAACCAAACAATACATAAGTTGTACCACACATTTGAAAAAGCAAGCGAGCGAATTTTTTTAGTTACGAATAGAAAAATGCTTTCTTACATTTTTCTGTTTTTGACTAAAAATTTTACATCAAAGAAAACTAGTCTTAGATGGTTTTTCATAGCATTGCACTAAGTAAGTGAGGTAACCGCTGGTGTCAGGGGGATGCACTCACTCAAAGGAAATCAGCTCTTGAGTACCTGCAACTCTCTGCTTGTTTGCCCCTATTCCAAAAAAATATATTTATAAATACGAATTTTTGGAAAAAAAATGGTTTTAATAGAAATTAAAACCTTTTCTTTCTACACCACAAAAAAGTTTACCTTAAGAGATTACCCTGGGTATAAAGTCCGCCGATGTATAAAAGTGCATAAAGTTATATAAATAAATAATTTACGTATATAACGTTTTATAAAAATATATTTATTAAATTTTTAAAGAAAAATAACTCATACTTTATATTTCTACAATTCTAGTCTACAAAAGTTCAGTAATAGAAGTGACTCCGGAACAATTTTTGTCGTTGGACATGCGGGGCAGAGTCATAACACAAGTTAAAGTACCCCCGCTCTCTCACAACTACCAGTTTGTATCTTTTAAAGTAAGTAAGTAATAGTTTGAAGAGAAAAATCTAAAAAACTTTCTGCTCCACAGCACGCTTTCATCCTCAGGTTCTAATTGAATGTAAAAATAAACCTCGCGAATAAGTGCCTGATTTTACTACTAAAAGAATTTGAGTTTAATTAATACTGATCATAATTATTTAGTTTCTTATTTTCCATTGTAAAAAACTTATTTTTCATTCCTATCTAGAACTTTTTGTAAGAAATAAAACAAAAACAATAAAAGAAATCAAATAATAATTCAAGAAAACATAAATGTAAGTTATAATTTCAGATAATGCCAAGAGCTCAAAATGCACACGCTCAAGTAAATGCAGCATTTCTATATGAACTTGATCCTCACGATACAGACTTAGTAAGGTCAGCCAGAATAGTCATTGGTGGAATTTCACATGCGTTCGTTCATGCTAAAGAAACAGAAAACTATCTAACTATGAAGAGAATATTTACTAATGAAGTTCTTCAGCAGTCTTTGAAAATACTAGAAGGTGAATTAAAACCAGAAGAAGTGGCCGGTGAAATGAAACCAAAATATCGGAAAAAGTGCGCACTTGGGTTGTTTTATAAGGTAAATAATAAAACACTAGACAAATCAAAAAACGTTACGTATAAAGTTATAAAACGGTATGGGAATAGTTAAAGCGCAGATAGTCCAAAAATCATTATTCCTTCCCTACCGACGACTGTGTTCGCTGTGCAACACTACACGCCAAACACGAGCGCAGACGCAGGTATCGGGGGTAGAAAAACAGAGGAATATACGATTATTTTCTGATTTATATTATATTTAATTTACGATTATCTATTAATTCTTTCCGCAAATACGTACCATAAGGCAGACTTAATGCAATAAGGTTAATTGTGATTTTTTTATGATTATTTTTTACACAGTTACCCAGTAGTTGCTAATATATTGAATATATTGTGCAATTTAGTTTATTCACTTTAATTTATGTAAGTCAGTTAAAAGTGACTTGTTATTTACTTCTAAGTATTTTCTTTATCTTTTGCCTAACTTACATTCACTTTGGTCGTAATGTATTTGAATCATCCTTCTGGCTTTAATATTTGATTGTTCTCTATCTACAACTCATATTTCTATTGTACTTTTACGAGTATGTAGTTAAAATGCTCCCATCTTGTCATCTTGTAAGAAATTTGTGTCTTTGTTCGTGACATATTTGTGTCTTATCTTTTCAGAGTTTACTTGTTTTAATACCGAAACAGCGATTAAAGCCTTTTTATCGGTCTGGGGCAAGAGATTTTAGAAAGTCAAGACCAATATCCAAAGGCTCACAAGTGTATGATACAAATCCAATATTATGGCCCGTTAATGAGCCGATGCCTAAAATAGATGCACTAGTACAATGTGCAGGAGAAGCTTTTTACGTGAATGATGTTCCTACTTTGCCAAATGAGGTCTTTTGTGCTTTTGTAACCTCAGATATATGCACTGGGGAAATAGTTAACATTGATCCTGAACCTGCTTTAGTAAGTTTATTTTTCTTAAATATGTACGCAAATAATTTTGCTTTATCTAGTGATAAAGCAAATTTTCTTAAATTGTATGAACAAATTTTGATATTTTTACAGAAAATACCAGGAGTGTTAGCATTCTTCTCAGCAAAAGATATACCTGGAACGAATTCATTTCTTTCTCAAAAGGTGAACGGACAGCCTGCACCGGAAGAAATATTTGCACTTAAGAACATTAAGTACTACGACCAAGCCATTGGTATAATAGTAGCTGAAACTGAGAAATTAGCAAACCGAGCAGCTTTGCTAGTAAAAGTTGATTATAAAGTGGATAAAAAAAAGCCTATATTAACTATAAATGCTGCCCGTGAGAGGGACCCTAGTCGTGTAACTCTTTTTATAGCTGTACCAGCAAGAGACCGTGGACAAGATATTCAGAGGATCATCAAAGGATGTGACAACATCTATTGGCAGTACCATTACACTATGGAGACAATATCAGCTGTTTCCAAACCTAGTGAACTCGGCCTTGACGTTTTGGCTACTACTCAATTTCCAGATTCTGTAATCGTTGGTTTATCTGAAGCATTGAATATACCTGAAAATAGGTAAGTAGAACATTTTTTTCATGTATTATTTAGACACTTTTTCAGTAGTGTTGGTTTGATCATAGATGGTGATTTTAACTTAAATAGAATTTTTTGTTTTACTTGATGCAGAATTAACATTATCGCGCCTCGATGTGGAGGCGCGTATGGTCTAAAGATATCACGTACAAGTCAAGTCGCGATTGCTAGCTCACTGGTCACCTACCTCTTAGACAGGCCTTGTAGATTTGTTTTGAGTATTCAAGCCAGTCTTCGAATAATGGGCAGGCGATTCCCTTGTACGAGGGACTTCGAAGTAAGAACCTATTTTTAATTTTTAAAAATGGAATAGAATAGCATATAAAAACAAATATGTATATTAATTTTAGTTTATTTTGATACTAACAGGTTGCTGTGAATGACTCAGGGGTGATACAGTATTTAGAATGTCATGTATATGAAGACAATGGATACGTGGCAACTGACAACGTCAATATTTTTGCTATCAGCGGCCTCAAGAACTGCTATAATAACAGGAGATGGCAATTTAAGGTATTCGATGTACTAACAGATACAGCATCTAATACCTATGCGAGGGCACCAGGTAAATTATAGTTTACAATATTGTTTAAAATTAATAAATAATTTGTTTTACACATTGTTGTACGCAAACAGGCAAAGCATAATTTTGTGCAGGCAATGCAAAGAAATTATAAAAATAAATCAATAATTTCCATACTGTTGTGAAATAAACACAATCAAAATTATTTAATTAGTAAAAAGTATCTCTTTTAGGAAGCTTAGAGGCTATTGCTATGACTGAAAACATGATGGAACAAATATCTTATGAAATAGACAGGGATCCTGTTGAAGTAAGAATGAACAATCTTGATGAGAGTGTGCCTGAAGTAAGAGAGATGGTGGCACAGCTCCTAAAAGATGGAGAATACACAAAACGAAAAGAAGAAGTTAACAACTTTAATAGACTTAATCGGTGGAAAAAACGAGGCCTTAGAGTCGCTTTTCTGAATTGGCCAGCATCTGCATTGATAAACTACAGCGTTCTCATGACTGTGCATCATGGCGATGGCACGATAGTGATCATGCATGGAGGTATAGAAATCGGTCAAGGTATTAACACAAAGGTTATCCAAACCGTTGCCTATACGCTTAATATTAGTATCGACAAAGTAAAATGTAAACCTTCTGATACTGCAACAAGTCCAAATAATTTTACAACTGGAGGTAGTAGAACTACCCAAGCAGTATGTTTTGGTGCTATTAAGTGCTGTCAAATACTTTTAGACAGATTATCTGCCGTAAGAGAGTCACTCAATAATCCTACATGGGAGGTATTAATAGACGAAGCTTTTACGAGAGGAATTAATCTACAGACAAGCTATCACGTGAACAGTAATGATCAACAGCCTTATAGATCAGGTGGCGCTGCATTGACTGAAGTAGAATTAGATATTCTTACTGGGGAACACGAAGTTTTAAGGGTCGATATTATAGAAGATGTTGGTACTAGTATAAATCCAGAACTTGATATTGGACAGGTAAGAGGTAACCATTTTGTAATAGAAACACTATTGCATTCTTTTTATATTTCGGCCGTAAACACTGCCGCTACAGGTTGCTTTGTGATAAACATAAATGTTGTTAACGATATATCTTACTTGCTAGCGGAAACGAAATACATAATGTTATGTGTTCCTTGTTAAGATTTTAAATATCACGCATCATCTTTGTCTGTTGTAACTCCCTTTAGTTTTATAAGGACTTACGCGTAAATCCCTGAAGGGACACAGGGATCAAGAGCCACAGATATCACGGCCTCACAGAAAATCAACTTTCATTGTTTTTTACCGAGGTACTAAGGGTACTGGAATCCCACCCCGTCCCTCTCTAATTGGGGGAGGGCAATCAAAAGGCGGAAATGCACTTGTATCTCTTGTATTACATGTGTCCATGAGCGCGGGAATCACTTACCATCAGGTGATCTGTTTGCTCGCTTGCTCCTTGTAGTCCTCCTTAAAAAATAACTTCAAAAAATGTAAGTGGACCTACATTGCTGTTTATTTTTTATTTAGATTGAAGGCGCTTTCCTGATGGGACTTGGTTACTGGACCCATGAGGACTTTATTTTTGATGAGCACACCGGAGAGTTGCTCACCGATCGTACTTGGTATTACCATGTACCTTTGTCTAAAGATATACCTATCGATTTTAGGATACAATTAAGAAGGAATTCTTACAATCCGCTTGGGACTCTCGGATCTAAGGGTAGGTTGTAACGTAATGTATTTTAATGTAATTTGGTACAGAATGTATGTTTTTCAACAAAGCATGCATTATCGTATTTTTTCAACGTATGAATGAAGTTATAGAGGAAACATACCTATTATTTCTGATGAAGGTAGGGCAGTTAAAGGTCGACCACGCACTTATGTTTCATGGGCTGCGGTGGTCACTTGACATCACTCACCACCACTACTCAAACCAAAAATCCGGGCGATTTTCTAGGCACCTCAAAAAACAATGCGACACGTGACCACGAAAAATCGCAGATTCGAATTCGGACTGATATTCTCTCATGTATAAAACAGTTTAAACAGTAATCCATCAAACAGTTTCTGTAGTTCAAAAATTGCGAACAGTACATATCATGTCGATTGTTGCTGGTTAAATCGTTAATATCATGTGAAATTCTCCTAGCAACAGACACTGTTTGGTTATTTATTGTCAGTAGTATGTCGCTTACCCGCTTCTTTGAAAATTTTGATTTTTAAAGTTTTTACAATCGTTAGGTTAAAATAGTTTATGTAGAGTACAATAATATTGCAATTACCAGTTTAACTAAAGACATTTCCTTTCTAGCTGTATCAGAGCCGCCATGCTGTTTAGCAGTTAGTGTAGCGTTTGCCCTACGCGAAGCTATTGCATCGTCTAGAGAAGATACTGGATATCCAAGAAACAAATGGTTTAACGTGGGTACGTATTATTTCTTTCTAGAGCAAACATAGCGATATCTAGACATAAGGCAGGGTTTTAGAGCACGAGAAAAGAAACATATCTTTCATCAGCCTGTGTTTCTCTTTTTGTTTTATTTATGTATACAATATGGCATAAACCACAATGAATGTAAAATAACGTATATCTAGCTCAAATTCGAGCATACAAATATACCATATTACTAATAATAACAAGCACAAAGGTACAAAAGTAACAATACAGTTGTAATCTTACAAATTAAAGCTTGGATATCTGTGTCCGAACTAGATAGCATTATCTGTATTTGGGTCATCAGTGCTCCTCCTTGAGATTACGTATTACAGGTAAGCTTTAAAACATTAAAACATTTATTAACAGCTTACCTGTAGTATACAAATTAACAGAGACATAAATTAAGTAAAATAATCGTTCAGAATTAATTTGTGAAGATAACAGAATAACGTGTTTTTGCATTTTGCTATTTAGGTTTTTTAATGTTTAAAAAACGAAGAGAGACGGACCCAAGAAGCAGAAATAATTATTGACATAGGTATGTGTAAAAGTTTGGGTATTCGAGATAGCTAAGCGTTTTCATAGCTTGGAAAAATTAATGGCGCCTAATTACCTAGTTTTGTTTTTCTTCTTAAAAAAATAATTTTGTAAAATACTGCAGGTTTACTTTGTACAGTTGATATACCTGTGTATAAATTATATTCTTTTTAGGAAATACACTCACCTTTAACTTACCGAAAATCGGTTTTAAAAGTGCTCATATTTTTTTCGTTTAATTGTGTTTATATATTCAAATTACCGTAATTGTTCGAATTTAGACTTTAAGATTTAATTCGTACCATTAATATTTTTTTTGAATTTCAATTTTTTTTATTTTAATGTTTATTTCAGATGGGCCATTTACTTTAGAGGCTAACGTTCTGACAGCAAATGCGAAATTAGAAGAGTTTCTTTTCTATTAATATTCATAGATTATAGAATTTATTTCTAGATAAATGTTTTTGAATCAATTCTTATGAATAAAGGTTATAATCTTATTTAAATCTTTTAATTTCCCAATTTCTCTCATGGTGGATTACTTATTAATTAAAACTAAAACAGTTGATATTTTTATTTTGAAAATACTACTTAGTGTTTTCTAAATTTACGCTACTTTTTTATTTAAGTATGTTAATATGCACAGCCAGATCAACTGACATACTCTTGTATACAAACATTTTTACGGTTCACGGTTTAAGGTTACGCCGTGGAAGCGTTGTTTTTTTAGTTGCTTTTTTATTTGTTTTAAATAAAATAAAAACAACTAAGTCACATAAGTATTTAAAACATTACGTAAGTATTGGAGTTGGGGATTACAAACCTAAACCACCCACCTTAAATAATTTAGTGTATGCTTTTATATAGAGGAAAGTAACTAAATATGTGTATTAATATAGGCTAGTAACAATTCTGAAAAGCAAATAATTGAAAACCACAACAAACGCCTAACTTATGACACATTGATTCACCCTAACATCGCAATCACTCTGTGTGACGTTGACGCTTCGCCACTCCCTTAAAATTTTCGTAAGGTGCTTAAAATTATGTTGGTACACATGAAAAACGTCATTAAACGGGTGCCTCGAATTCTTGAATTTATGATACGCAATGGAAAATATCCCTAGTAGCCTAAATCCTATTGTATTATTGTATCCTTTTTTTTATCTTGGCTTGTCAAATAGTGACAAGATGACGAAGGGAAGTCGATCTTTGGTAAGCGTCGTGATAAGACACACACCCTCTGTCGAAGGTGTGGTAGATCATCCTACCACATCCAGAAATCAAAATGTGCACAATGTGGATATCCTGCTGCGCTCCTATCACTGGTCAGTGAAAGCCAAGCGTAGGAAGACCACTGGAACCGGCAGCATGCGTCACTTGAAAATCGTAACAAGGCGTTTCCGCAATGGCTTTAAACCCACCCCTAACAAAGCTGTGGCTTCGTCCTAGATTACTATGACCTGGAATTTGATTCTTGAATACTATACTCGTATTGTAGTCTGGAGGCCACGCTTTACAATCCACTCCCACAAAACCTTTTTTTAATATGTATAGAGCGTATTTAAAAAAGGTTTCTGTAACATTCCAATCAATGGACGAATGCATGAATTTCATGGCTGATTATTATTTATTTTTAAAACCGTAGATACTAATATTTTGGACATCTTACGTAGCGTTGTTTCTCACACTTGAGAAACAGTGAGAGGGTTTGTGGGTTTGCCCCACAAAAGTGAGAATATGTGTTAAGGAATGTCATAAAAAAAAAATCTGTCCGAAACTGTACTTGTCAATGTTAATAAAAAAAAGAACTTCATTTTTAATTTATTTAATTCATTAACAAATTATTACAATTGTGTCTGAATAAAACAATTTATATGGTAAAGAATAAAACGAGATTATTGTACTATTTTTTTTTTAAATAATCCGCACCAGAAAATATATCCTGCGTTGCAGGGAATTTGTACCGTTCCGTTCTGTTAAGCATAGTGAGAACACGGGATACAGCTGTCTGTAAGTGGAAGCGATACCTATTAACTCCTCATATTCCTCAGCCAACCACAGAGCTCGGCTAGAAAGAGATGGAGGGATCTATCTATTATCCATCTCTCTCGTTGCCTATATAGCAAGATCGGGGATCGTGTTATCTCTACATCTCTAAGGTTTCGAATGACTTTTTTTGACGAGTTTTGAATGAATGAATATACTTAAATGCTCATCATTGATTCATCTTGACTTTTGTACTGCGGCCTATGAACTTGCAACTCAGAAGTCACAAGTGCGTTGCCAGCCTATAAGATAGGAGTACGCTCTTTCCTTGAAGGTTTGAAGGTCGAATAGGTCTGGAAATACTGCAGACGTCACGGGAAATACCGTCAAAATACATTCTGCATCTCTAGTTTTCATTTATGTATATGACACATATTTTATATTCTTTTTTTTTACCACATTCACACAACGCCATCTAGTCCCAAACTAAGCAGAGCTTGTACTATGGCTACTAGACAACTGATATAAATACATACATACTTTCATTTGTAAATACATACTTATTTTATATAGAAACACCCAGACCAAATCAAACAATTAATGTTCATGCACACAAATGTTTGACTTGAGCGGGAATGGAACCCGGAACTTGGAATAGCAGTCCGTTACACAAACCACTACGCCATCCGGTCGTCATCTACATAGAAACATAAAGTATTGCAAATGTGTTATGGCTCCATGAAACATATTTGTTTAAAAATGGTTCCAAGTATTTTCTTAACGTATTAATATAAAAGTAGTATCATTCTTTTTCTTTCATTCTTTCATTATTATTTATTACTATCGTACTATAGTAGGCCAAAACCTACTTTCTAAGGAGAGGTCTATGTCCAGCCGTGTACACATTAAGGCTGTTGGCGATGAATAAAAATTTTGCATTACTTATCGGTATAACTATGAAATGGGATTTGATAATAAAATCTAAAAGTGCTTTAATTAAAAGAGTTTAGTAACCCGATTCCCTAGGTTAGTTACCTACAACGTTGATTAAAATTGTCTTATAATACGTGGATATAAGGTTAATCTTTAACTTGACGTTATTTATTACAATAATAACTAAATTCATCTCATACACGGCAGTCTGAACCCAAACTAGGCAGAGCCTGTACTATGGTAACCAGACTGCTGATAAATATTTTAAATATTTCTAAATACAGACACTGCTTATCACACAAATATTTGTCATGGATGACAATCGAACCCAAGACCTCTGGCATAGCAATCAATATCACTAACCGATAGACCAACTAGCTTGTCAATTAGACTAAGAGAGGGATTCATACTTCAGTCTCATCATCTTTCTGCCGTTTCAGGGTCAAATTTTCATAAGGTTAAAAACTAAATTATTAACAGAAATATTAAATTGAGTAGGTGCCTATTATAACTTTTTATCTGACTCCTTACTACACCTACCCAACACCAAAGTAAATGATTAAACACTATATAGTATATATATATATAGGTAGGGGTATATAGTCAAAAATGGCTAATTTTACTTGTCAGTCAGTCATGACTTTAAGTTATGGGCGCGGATATGACTGTCAAATTATGTGATATTTCGAATTATGCTAACAGCAAATCCAACTGTTAACTTGGAAGATAGATCTATCTGGAACGATCATCGACCTAGGGATCATGACTCTCGTGATAGTCGTGATCCTCCCCCCGCCCCGTGGATCCTGACATCATGTCTATTATTCCATATTATTATTGTTGTTTTTAAGTACTAAGTGATACTTCATTCATTTTTTATCTTTTTACGCTCAGTTGACTTTACTGCAGAGTCACAGTTCAGAAACCTTCAGATCTTACAAGCTATTATTTGTATTTCCTGCTGCCTGATGCGCACCCTAGTTGATACTTTAGTACTTACGTAGAGCAAGGAATATGCATTGGAGTTTCTTCTGCTACTCGACAGAATCTAATGACGTGCTTTCACTCGATTATAAGATGAATTTGTTAAGGATGTCTTCGGAAGTGACTACCGCCGAACCGAATTCAAGAGTCACCAGTACGTTGCCGGCCTTTGTGGTGGGAAGACGCTCTTTTCTTGAGGGTTTGGAGGTCTTTTGGTACTTTCTCATCAAAGCTTTCAAGTGTTTAAGACTTGTGAGTTTTTTCTTGTGTATTGTTCGTTTGTGTTTCTATAGGTTCGCTGTTTGATGACACCGCGGTGTGTCCAGTCTAACTAAACATTAAGATATTTTAAACTTGATTGATTTGAAACCAATTGGTTAGAACCATTGCAGTATGTAATTAGGTAGTAAGATCTCACAACGAAGAAGAACAACAGATTCATCACTGAAACAAAACATTAAAGAATATTAAATAAATTATCTCGCCATTACGATAGTAAATAATAAAATTGTATGGGGATCAGTCTAACATCAGTATATCACAGACAGATCTCTCGTTCCTCATGATGAGATTCTCGTAAAAGTTGAATTTCAGTCGTTCTTCTTCTAACCAACCGTATTATACAGAAATAGAATACATAATTATGAATCTAAAGAATGACAGTGCCCCATATCTAGATATAGGGCACTAGCCAACTCATAATAAAGTTAAGAATCATATAATGCAACCTATTTAGATTAACCTTAAACTTAAAAACAGTTGCAGTACAGTAGACAAATATATAAACATCAGAAATATAAATATAAACCACAAAAAACACTATTTTCTAAATGCATATGGTTACAATAAAAATGGTTACTTTAATAATTAAAAATAAACACTTACAGAAAGAAAGCACCGAAGAGAAAAAGCCACGGAAACCTATCGTCTGTGGTTGAACAAATATGCTGCAGATAATCCCTAACGCCAGTAGTACTAAGTATACCACAATATAAATACAGTATGCTTTAATGAACAGTCGTCTGACCTGAAACAGAAAGAATAATAGGCTGAATATGCTACAGCCAAATAGGTCAAAATAACTTAACCAAAAAGGTAGAATCTGGTTGCGATCCACTGAGGGGATTAAAAAGAAAATAGCTGGCAGCGGATGGATGCGGACTGCGCAAGGCCGAGATACTTGGCGCTCCTTGAGGAGGCCTTCGTTCAGCAGTGAACGGCGATCGGCTATAAAAGTGGTAGGTTAGAGTCATTTTTACAAAAAATATTAGTTAACAATAATCTTAATACAAATATCTGGAAAACAATTGTTTAAGGAGTACATTTAATCACAATAACATTAGTGAAAAATCATGTTTTACTGGTAAAAATTAGCTAACAATATTTGCAATCAGGTAAATGACGCAAATGCGCTTTTGACCGTAATTTCAGTCAATCGTACTCTAGACTCTGCCTATCTCTTCAGAAACACATGCCTATTACTTTATGTATGTCATCATCATCACCACCCTTTAACAGTCCACTGCTGCACCCAGGTCTCTCCTTAGAAAGGAGGTTTTGGAATACCATACCACGCTGGCCGTACCGTACCAACCCGTCTGTGGCATGGGGTTTGTATCAAGTTCGCCAAAGAAATAAAGAGAATGAAGAGATGCTGGAGGGTCTCGACCGTGACCCCTGGGGTCTCCCAGCCTCCCCCTCCCCCTTACGGAGACTCTCCAGCCTAGATTCCTGGAGACAGTGGTTGAGGGCCTTTTCCCGCAGCGGGTGGAACACACACCCCCGTCGATGGCCTCCTTGGTCGGACACGACGGGGAGGACGAGGATGATGTTCCGCCCGTCGCGGATTTGGAAGTAAGGGCGGCTCTTCTACGGATCCGCTCCAAGAACACCGCCCCCGGACCAGACGGGATACCTGCCCGTGTGCTGGTCCGGGTTCTCGATCACATGTCAGATCGCCTCGGAGAGGTGTTTGATGCAAGCTTGGCGTCCGAACGTTTCCCTGAGTTCTGGATGAGCGAGAAGCTGGTCCTGGTGAGAAAGCCGGGACGGCCTGCCGATTCGGTCGCAGCCTAGAGGCCCATCGTGTTGCTGGACGAAGCGGGTAAATTGTTTGAGAGGGTACTCTCTGCCCGCATCGTCCGCCACCTCTGCGAGGTTGGCCCCGATCTGTTGGACGCCCAATTCGGTTTTCGAGCGAGGCGTTCGACGGTCGGCGCTGTGCCGTGCCTGAGGGTCAAGACCGAAGAGGCGGTGAGCTGTGGTGGAGTGCTGTAGGCGGTGTCACTGGACATCGCAAACACATTCAATAGTCTACCATTCAGGTGCATCAGGGAAGCACTCCACTATCATGGGGTGCCAAAGTACCTGAGGCGGCTAGTGGCAGACTATTTGAGGAGCGTACCGTCGTGTACGAGGACCGAGATGGTAATCTGAAGTGTCGGTCCATGTAGTGGGGTGTTCCACTGGCAGACCCCTGTTCTTGGACCCGTCCTGTGGAACATAGGGTACGACTGGGCCCTTCGAGCAGATTTTCCCCCTGGGCT